CACACTCACACACTCACACACACACACACACACACACACACACACACACACCAGTTACTGAGGGCAGACTGTAGAACAGATACTTAAACGCTAGAGCTTCACACCAGACGTCTGAAGAATTACAAACCAAACGCCCCAAAAATCAAACGCTCATTACTTCACACATACAGTACATTATTACACTTTAAAACATATTGTACATTATACTATACCATGAAACATGAGAAATGGGATTGATTTTGATAATATTGAATATTGTTTCACTATTCAAATAAGGCCATTTTATCCTTTAAAACCCAAACTGAGTATCCAATTTTTAACTCCATTTTAAGTGCATTATTGTAAATGTGACTTTTCTTTGATTTTACAAAATTAAGCATGTCTGAATTATTTTCACGGCAGATTCTGTACATTTTAACATGTTTATATAAATTCCTGTTGTGACCATGATTATGATATTCAGCACATCTGAAATTAGCCTTACAAACAAACAAAACAAAACAAACAAAAAAAAATATATTAAAAAACTATAAAGTTTTCATAGACATCCATAAAATTACATATATAAAAGATGACAATACATAAACCATTATAAAAAAAATTAAAAAAAGATTTTAGAAACTCCTTGTTGAAATGGAGTAAAGCTTAAAAAAGCAGAATGACAAGGTTTTAAAAGCTGAGATTTAAGCGTGGGCCGTTTCGAGTCAGTTCAGTGTTCACAAACACAGACGATCAATCTTAACATAAAACTTCAGAGTTCATGTTGAATGATTACAAACATACTGTACACTCTCGATCACCTCCAAAAGATCTGTGAGATTATGGCATTATAGATATTGACTCTATAGAGAACGCTCAGTGCTCCATAAAAACATTGTTTTCCAGCAGTGTTATAAGATGCTTAAAATAAGATGCATTTATTTGAGAAGCAAAATGTTATGATATGGTGAATGATGTACTTTTCATACCTCACTGGCAATGTTAATAATAATAACTATATTAAATAAAAAATTATAATTATAAATAGAATTATAAAACATTTTTTTATAAAATAATTTGTATAGTAATAATAATAACTGTTTAAAATAATAAATAAAAGAAACAATTTGCCAATAAAAAAAATAACTATACTAAATTACAAATTATAATAATAAAGCTAAAAACCTGTAATAGACATTCATAAAATTATATCGATAAAAGACGACAATAAATAAAAAAAAAATATTGGTAGCTGTTCCTAGAATGGAATATGTATTTTTTAAATAATATATTTATAATAAATTAATAATAATAATGAAAATAGCTTAAAAAAAACGATTCTAAATTCTAATTATAAATTATAAAGCTATAAAATTATAATAGACATTCAAAAAAATTCGATAAAAGATGACAATAAATAAAACGTTTTTAAAAGGAAAAAGAAATATTGGAAAATGTTCCTCAAATATGAACTTTTATAATTCAAATATATATATACACACATGGTTTTAATTTTTAATTCTCAAGTAAATGCATCTCGTTTTAAGGATGTTCAAGAATTTATTTAAAAACAAGACAAAAATATTGATTGAATGATTTTCTGCCGTGTGCTGACCTGAATAGAGGAATTCTGCATGTTTTAATGAAGACAATCTGAAACACTATAACAGACCAACGTTGATCTATAATAAAATTCATCCGACTTATGAAAAATACAGAGAAAGTAATATACAAAAAGGAGCATGTCTGACAACACGACTGATAGGAAAAGACAGGACTCACATGATTCCCGCTCGATTCATACGTGATGTTGATATGGTTCTGCTCCGGCGGTTTCACAGCAGCTTCTAGCATCACATGATATCGCAGTCATCCGCAGCAATGCTTTCAGTCTCCAATCTTTACTTTTTATCGCATATTTTAACTGTATTCCACTCCGAACAGATGTACAGTACACAAAATACAAATGTATCATGTAATTACATGCAATCACGGAAAGGAGTTCATATTGCATAATGAGGAAGCTCCACGCTGGACGCATGGATAGTGACCGATCAGGAAGAGTCACGTCGTCCAGAGGAGCTCATGGAATGATTGAAGACATTAAATCTAGTCTAGTGCATTATGGGAAACTGACGAGATGTATTTGAGGGAGTCGATGCACGTCCTGATGTCTGGATTCACAAACACACTGGATTTTCTGCGAGCTAACGTTGTTCTTGAGGGGAATCGATCAGGAAGTGGCACCCAGGTAGAAAAGGATCAAGGTTTTTGTCTGGAAGGTTCTTCAGTTCATCTCGCTCGTGCTCAGAAGAGCAGAATGCATCCTGGAGAACAGCAAAACCGCTTCAGACCCACAGAGAGACGTCTACTGAACATCCAGATTACTGTAGAGACAGAGACAGATGTTCATGAAAACACTGCATCTGCTTTGCACACTCAAGTACATACTTACAGACAGTGAGTATGCAGTGAGACGCTACCACCCAAAACCTGCATCTTCAGACCTCAGAGCATTTCCTTATAATCAATGCAAACATTAGCATCTCTCTACAATCATTCATTACCTGCAAATTCTCCAATTATATTACTTTTGATCATTTAGGCTTATTTTGTGTATGTATATACAGTATATATATATAGTGTACTTTATAATAGGGAACACTTATTCACTATTAACTACGACTTTTCCCTCAATAAATTCCTAATTTGCTGCTTATTAATAGTTGGTAAGGTAGTTAAGTTTAGGTATTGGGAAGGATTAGGGATGTAGAATAAGGTCATGTAAAATTATATCGATAAAAGACGACAATAAATAAAAAAAAAATATTGGTAGCTGTTCCTAGAATGGAATATGTATTTTTTAAATAATATATTTATAATAAATTAATAATAATAATGAAAATAGCTTAAAAAAAACGATTCTAAATTCTAATTATAAATTATAAAGCTATAAAATTATAATAGACATTCAAAAAAATTCGATAAAAGATGACAATAAATAAAACGTTTTTAAAAGGAAAAAGAAATATTGGAAAATGTTCCTCAAATATGAACTTTTATAATTCAAATATATATATACACACATGGTTTTAATTTTTAATTCTCAAGTAAATGCATCTCGTTTTAAGGATGTTCAAGAATTTATTTAAAAACAAGACAAAAATATTGATTGAATGATTTTCTGCCGTGTGCTGACCTGAATAGAGGAATTCTGCATGTTTTAATGAAGACAATCTGAAACACTATAACAGACCAACGTTGATCTATAATAAAATTCATCCGACTTATGAAAAATACAGAGAAAGTAATATACAAAAAGGAGCATGTCTGACAACACGACTGATAGGAAAAGACAGGACTCACATGATTCCCGCTCGATTCATACGTGATGTTGATATGGTTCTGCTCCGGCGGTTTCACAGCAGCTTCTAGCATCACATGATATCGCAGTCATCCGCAGCAATGCTTTCAGTCTCCAATCTTTACTTTTTATCGCATATTTTAACTGTATTCCACTCCGAACAGATGTACAGTACACAAAATACAAATGTATCATGTAATTACATGCAATCACGGAAAGGAGTTCATATTGCATAATGAGGAAGCTCCACGCTGGACGCATGGATAGTGACCGATCAGGAAGAGTCACGTCGTCCAGAGGAGCTCATGGAATGATTGAAGACATTAAATCTAGTCTAGTGCATTATGGGAAACTGACGAGATGTATTTGAGGGAGTCTCCTGATGTCCTGATGTCTGGATTCACAAACACACTGGATTTTCTGCGAGCTAACGTTGTTCTTGAGGGGAATCGATCAGACCCAGGTAGCCAGGTAGAAAAGGATCAAGGTTTTTGTCTGGAAGGTTCTTCAGTTCATCTCGCTCGTGCTCAGAAGAGCAGAATGCATCCTGGAGAACAGCAAAACCGCTTCAGACCCACAGAGAGACGTCTACTGAACATCCAGATTACTGTAGAGACAGAGACAGATGTTCATGAAAACACTGCATCTGCTTTGCACACTCAAGTACATACTTACAGACAGTGAGTATGCAGTGAGACGCTACCACCCAAAACCTGCATCTTCAGACCTCAGAGCATTTCCTTATAATCAATGCAAACATTAGCATCTCTCTACAATCATTCATTACCTGCAAATTCTCCAATTATATTACTTTTGATCATTTAGGCTTATTTTGTGTATGTATATACAGTATATATATATAGTGTACTTTATAATAGGGAACACTTATTCACTATTAACTACGACTTTTCCCTCAATAAATTCCTAATTTGCTGCTTATTAATAGTTGGTAAGGTAGTTAAGTTTAGGTATTGGGAAGGATTAGGGATGTAGAATAAGGTCATGTAGAATAAGGCATTATTATGTGCTTAATTAGTACTAATAAATGGCTAATATTCTAGTAATATGCATGCTAATAAGCAACTAGTTAAGAGACTCTAAAAAAAAGTGTTACCATATAGTGCAAAGTTTTTGTCTCACATTGTTCAGTTTTATTTTACTATATCTTCATTAATACTATAAATGAGCTATAAATGTTATGCATTTTCTAACAAAATAATAATATAAATTATTTATATTAATATTATAATATTTTATAATATCAATATAATTAACTACACACATATAGTTTATTTATTTAAGGTGTGATATATATATATATATTTTTATCATTTTGGAATTAGCATATGGAAAATAAAACCTTTTCATAAGTAATGAAAATGCTAAACTTTTGTCTAAAATTCTTCTGAAAACAGTCACTCCTCACTGTTCATAGTGCAAGGAGGAATATAAGACCAAAAATAATGAACGAATGTTTATTTCAGAAACAGTGCACAAACCAGACGTATTTGGCATCCTTCATTATATTATAATTTATTTTAGGATGCAATAACCCTAATTTTTCATACTATACAGTACAGATAGTATGCAAATTTGGATGCAGCCCTCGAGATTCCTCTACTAACTGCATGAATTGCACACACACACACACACACACACCGCAGGCTCTTCTGTGTGAGTGTGTGCGCAAACAGTCCAAGGGCATGCTTGTGTGTGTGTGTGTGAGAGTGAGTGAGTGTGTCAGTGTGAGTGTGTGTGTGAGTGAGTGAGTGTGTGTGAGAGTAAGTGTGTGTGTGTGTGAGTGTGTCAGTGTGAGTGTGTCAGTGTAAGTGTGTGTGTGTGTGTGTGTGTGAGAGAGAGAGTGAGTGAGTGTGTCAGTGTGAGTGTGTGTGTGAGTGAGTGAGTGTGTGTGAGAGTAAGTGTGTGTGTGTGTGAGTGTGTCAGTGTGAGTGTGTCAGTGTAAGTGTGTGTGTGTGTGTGTGTGTGAGAGAGAGAGTGAGTGAGTGTGTCAGTGTGAGTGTGTGTGTGAGTGAGTGAGTGTGTGTGAGAGTAAGTGTGTGTGTGTGTGAGTGTGTCAGTGTGAGTGTGTCAGTGTAAGTGTGTGTGTGTGTGTGTGTGTGAGAGAGAGAGTGAGTGAGTGTGTCAGTGTGAGTGTGTGTGTGAGTGAGTGAGTGAGTGTGTGTGTGTCTGAGTCTGTGCGTGTGTGTGTGAGAGAGTATGCGTAAGTGAGTGAGTGTCTCTGTGTGAGTGTGTGTGTGTGAGTGAGTGTGTGAGTG